GACTCGGCCGAATTTTTATATTTGTGGAGATAAAAATATTTTGTAAAAAAATTAAAAAGGGGTACTTGATAGCGGAAAGAAATTGCGCACTCAAATGGAGATTCTATAAAAAATGTATATTATCATTTTTAAGACGATTTTCATTTTCTTTTTATTTTCCATTCCCCTGGAATTCCCTTTTTACTGTTTCAGAAGGCAGGCTAGAGATGGGAAATTAAATAAAAAATTTGCTGCGCCTATAAGAGTGGCACGTGAGCTGAAAATTGATTCTTACGTGCTCTTTCTCATGGATTATCTATCGACGACGTCGATTTGCATTCAAGTACGCCTGGTCGATCATAAATTTCGATGAAATATTCTCAAGCCGATGCTTCAGGCAGTACTTAGTAGAGAGTCGACTGTCTGTTCTACGATAGTAAGCAACTTTCTGGCTTACTTTGAATATCAGAAGGAGCGCCTAAAGCGCACCTTTGCAACAAAAGGTCATCGGAAGCTTGAACGAAAAAAACGTCAGTCGCTTCAATATTACGTTTGCCAGTAACAGATAATGATTACGTCAATGAAGCCTTTCAGGGTGCACTAGGTGCATATATACAATATTGGACTCCAATTTCTTTATACCTTCTATTACAATCTAATTTTATTTCGGATTACTCAAATTTGTTCAATTCTAAAGCGAAGGAACACGACGTTCTGTTATTGATTTTACGTGAATCGAAACGATATTATCCGCACGTTTTAGATTTATCGAGCTCTTTACGAATTATACGGTATGTAAAAAAGGTAGCTGGAAGCGCGAGATACGCGTAGTGAAAAAATGTCTCTTCGTGACAGGGCACGACCATGAGGATGCAGTCGGGATCCGTAAATTATGTGTGGAATTATGAAAAAGGGGGACACAGTTGTCCGAGGTCACTTCGTACCGGGTCGTCGGCTGACCTTTCATGCCAAAATATACCGGCGCGGCCAACGTCCCGCTCTTTGACATCATTTATACATATCGGTTAAACGGCATATCGATGACAGATAAACGAGTTTGGCGAGCGAGCGGGAGCGCCATAAAAAGCAAGTCTAACGATCCGAAAGCGCGGAATCTACGGGATATGCGCCTAGTTTAGATGCGCATGCTGCCAATAAACGCTATTTCAGCCCGATATCAATTTCGCCAATCCTTGAATCAACATAGTTACAGTGACGATGCGATAGATATGCTATTCGAAAATAAAACCGAGTTTTAACTAGTATAGGAAAAGAGAAGTAATATAGAGGGAGAATCGAATATATTCCATGCGTCCCCTTCCCTTTTAACCGAATGCACGGAATATCAATAGAGAAATAAAATCCTTTTCTTTATATATATGTAGTTGTCATCGCGTGACGCGCATAACTCTTCACGTAAATTTCATTTCATTCGGGAGAACATGTTTGGGAAAACCTGTCATTAAACTTGTATTAATTTCATAAATATTTCCTCGTCCTCGACGCGTGCTCGATTTGAATAAGAAATTTAATCCGCGCGATTGATAATGAAGGGGTAATCGGTAAAGCTTATGAGAAAAAAGAAAGCACTCTGTATACTCATTAATTATTCGCAGCGGGAAGACTTTGTGAAATTGCGCAAGTTTCTCTACAAGAAGGTGGCAGGAGAGGCCACGGGGGAGACGATCGTTTTCACGAACTCTTGTTTCTAGAGCCGAGACTCATTTAACTCGGTTACGAACACAAACACGCTGTTAACAACCCGCATCGGAGGATCAAAGCCTCTTAAAGTGATTTCCTGGTCGCGGCACGGAGTCGTCGGAGAATTTCCGTAATGATGTCTAACGAAATCAGACCCATACGAGGCGAGCTTAAATGTCAGAAAGTCTTTCATTCTGTCCGTTGTGTATTTTGCGGAAAATGTCATTTGTTCCGAAATGAATTTGAAATATTATCCTATTCGAGATGCAAATAGCGCCGTCAGTTTCGTAACGTCAACCTTCTTACACAGTATAACAAATGTCGACACTAAATTATTAAAATACAAGAGCGTCGCAGGTTCGCTTTGATTTTCGATATTATGTGCTGCTATTAAGTGCATTTAATTCGGTCGATGAGGGTGTTGAAAATTTAAATTGCGCCCAACGTGTGAACGAGCGAGAGAACGCGGCCATTAAAACCGATAACGCGCAATTTAATTTAGGGCGAGCGTATGCTCATGTTAATTACGAAACACTTTGCCACCGTAATGTGTGGTCCATGTATTCATTTTTTTTAAACATTACTTGATACGTTCAGAAATAAATATTTTTATCGGCTCTCAATATAAATAATATAAGTATGCTGTCTTCTAAGCTGGGCAATAGAGCCAAGGAAACGAAACGAAAAATTAATTAAACGGAACTGTATCTCAATTTGAGATCCCAAAGTTCCACATATAAATTAATTTCGAAACTTACATATGGAGAAATAAGCGAGAAAAATATAGGTCCGAAAAGTCGCTGAAGCGGGAATCGAACCCGCGTCTTTCACTTTCCGGGCGACTGCTCTTACCAACTAAGCTATTCAGACCCTTTCGATCCTATATTTTTCATTTGCCTTTTTAGTAGATGTTAGTAAATACCGCCGTGATTAGCCCAAGGCGTGAATAAACTCAGAAATAAATATTTTTATCGGCTCTCAATATAAATAATATAAGTATGCTGCCTTCTAAGCTGGGCAATAGAGCCAAGGAAACGAAACGAAACGGTAAGAGCAGTCGCCCGGAAAGTGAAAGACGCGGGTTCGATTCCCGCTTCAGCGACTTTTCGGACCTATATTTTTCTCGCTTATTTCTCCATATGTAAGTTTCGAAATTAATTTATATGTGGAACTTTGGGATCTCAAATTGAGATACAGTTCCGTTTAATTAATTTTTCGTTTCGTTTCCTTGGCTCTATTGCCCAGCTTAGAAGACAGCATACTTATATTATTACTTGATACGATTTTACAGCATTAAAATCGCTTTTATTCTGAATAAATAAGGTAATTTTGGAATGTGTTTAAAAATAATGTATAAATTGTTGTACAAATTGCTTTAAATTTTGTTTTAAAATGTGATGTCATGATCATAATAATTTCGCAAATATTAAATTTGCAATTTCTATGAAATTTTACGAACGACGTAAATGTAAATCGTATACTTTAGATATCACATAATCACTGCGCTTTTTATTATATTACTTTGAAGGAGAATGTGGAAAACATCGTAAAATGGTTTTCTTTTCCAGAAATGGAATGAAGGCAAGAAGCTCTATCCGTGATTTTATTTGCAAAACTTTCCTTAATGCGACAACGCCAAAGTGGTATCAAACAAGTAACGCTGCTGTAAGTTTGTTAGAAACTGCAATAGAGCCGGAATAATATCCAAAGAGAGAGAGAGAGACGTATTATAACTTTCACGATCAAGGTGAAACCGCGAGATTCATGTGCGTGAATCTTTAAAACTTATGGGACGACATTCATATAAGTGCACGATGTATCTCTTATGCGCTTCACTCATATTATTGCATTCTTTTGTCGATTATCAAATTAATCTCCTCCTCAACATCTTGTTTTACACCAAAAATTTTCTCCTCTTTCTTGCCAAGCCGTCAAATTAACAGTGTTTGCTGTTGTCTAAGTAAAATTATACAGATGATCATCTAGATAAAAGTTTGACGTTATCTTATTTTTATATAGATAATAAAAATATGTACCTATTATCTATATCTGCATCTTAGATGAAAAAGAAAAATGTCTTTATAATTTACATTTTTTGATAACTGTGTTTACAGAAGCAATTTAAAAAAAATAATATTATCTGGAAGTTATCTCTAGATGAATCGCCATATTACAATTTTATCATTTATCTAGACATGTTTAAAACACAAAATCATCTTCATCCTAACTAAGAGATCAATTTCCATATTTTCATCTTATCTTTATCTAGCTAATTTATAAACTCATCTAGGCACAAAACTGCAAAGTAATCTTAATTAATTATGATGGTGCGAAATCGCGTTCCGGATGATTTGGCGACTCCATCAATTACGTGTAAATTCCAAAAACGATACATAGAGGCGTACGTGCGGGTAAGGTTATAGGGATCGTTTATCCTATCAATCGCATTCACTTCGATTCTACAGCCGCGGCGGAAGCCTCTCGGTGAAATTGGCATCGATCCGCTCGCTCGCTTTTATCGTTCCGGCGAAATTTCAGTGTCTATCGTCGTATACGACGTGAGACTATCGCGCGAGCGCGCCTTTTTAATCCCGATGCAGGTGGAAATTCCCCGAAAGGCGACTTTCCCCGGAGAAATGTCTCGTCTCTCCCTCGTGTCTCACCCCATGACCCTTTTTCTTCTACCATCTTAACGCGGACCGCTGTACCTTTTCAACTCGGTTCCATCCAAAGCCTCCTCATCCTCTTCAACCTACACCCTTCTCTCTTTCTGTCGTTGTCCCAAGCCCTCCATTCGTTTTCCGCAGCCACCCTCGGCCTCCCCCGCGTTCATACTACCCCTTTTCTCACTCTCAAGTTGGCCTTCTCGCTTTTATCGTCGGAGGCAGCAGATTTTCCTCATTTTACTTTTCAATCTCACGAAAGATGCGATTTTCTTCCTCATTTCCACTCTGACAATATTGAGGGAGAGCCGTTGGAGTAAAGAGAGAAAGCACAGAAACGTGGCAGTTCTAGAACTTTGTCGACAGTATCGTCGAGAAATGGAATTGCGAATGGATGAGAAAGCGAAAAGAGAGGAAAGGCGCGGTACACTAATCTATCTATCAGCTGTTAGCATTAGTGCACCATTAGGGAATACAATTTGCTCAAACGACTGCGAGCGATTAAATCGTCGTTTAAATCGGTGCCGACGACACGTTTTCGAATCCGTTTCCATTCTCCGATGCAAGTTTGCTCGCGGGCGTTTCAGTTCACATTCGTCGCGAGAGAATTTTCAAGAGAGACAAGAAAAACAATAAAATTCCCAGCTTTTGACTCACCTCCAACACGTGTTCCGCTTGATTCTCGCGGTCGAGCTTCCTGCCGCTGGTGCTGATGAGACCTGTAACAATGGATGCAGCAGCGATTAACGAAATGTCCATCCATTAATAATACGCGACGCGCGTAAATAACGATCGAAAACGAGGGAGGATATATCTATTATGGCGGGACACACGACAAAACGCTGGCACTTTGCACGATGACTCTCGCCTCGGTAAAATCCCGTAAAGAGGGTAGAAGAGACAAAGATCGGTCCGATGAAACGAACACAGAAAAAACAGTATCCTTGAAAGAATGCAAATATGCCTTGATTCAAGTATATTTGATCCTTATAATAGCGCCAAATATAAATAATTTTGGATAAAGGATAATTTATCCTTAAAACAAAGTGCAAAATATTCTTGGTTGAAGCTGAAATTTACTTATAAATATTGCAAGGACAAGTGAGCATCGGATATAAGCGGTACTTTCAAGTATATATAATAATTCTTAGTTCAAATGTGACTAAGTTTGTTTTTACCATATGCGATTTTTCAAACAAGAATATATCTTAAAGATAAAATATACTTCACACAAACTTATTTATTATTAAGGCAAATGAAAATTTGTGATTACAAAGAGCATTCTATGCTTAAATCAATCAAATAGCGTTCAAGAATGAACTCTTTTTTTTGTGAACTCGACGAAATTACAGCCTCCAGATTTTGCCATGCGTTATTCTCCGTCTCTTTCGATATACCGTGCTTTATTTTCAAGTCCCACGAACGTATACGTCCCCTTTTATCACGGGACGTGGGCGCTGCCCGAAAACTCGATTGAGCAAAAATTCGCGGACGTTCGAGAAAAATTCTTTCAATTTACTACGTACTTTGGGCGAAACGAACCGGAGAAGGACGAGCGGTCTCGAGAATGCGCTCGTAAATTTGGTGAAATAAAAGACACGTATAAAAGAATTAAACCGGAGAGATAGGGAAAAAAATTCTTTTAGATGGTATACATAAGATATAACACGCGATACATGAAATTTGTGTCTAATGCAGGTGAGAGAAGCCTCCCACAGAGATGCAAACGCGATGCTTCAACAAAGCGACACCGTCGAACAAAAAAAAGGAAGCCATGAATAGCGGACGCGCGCAACCGCGCCGTTGTATACGTATATAAAAGGCAGAGTGCGGCTTTTTTCTATTAGTCTTACGGCTTCCGGTGACGGCCTAGATTTTATATTACACCGCGAGCCGCTAATCGAGTTACGAGGAAGCCGTTGTCGACCCGCCAGCGCCGACTTTCGTAACTTCCGTTTTGCAGGCCCCGTTTTATCATCGGCATGGCGTGAATCCGAACTCGTACAACTGATACGTAGGTAGGTACGAGGCATCGCCGCCATTAAAACAAACTAGTTTCGCGTTTTGAGGGAAAGCTGGGGTGGCGTGAAAGATCCGCGTGCTAAAACGGAGAGGGTATTATTTGATCCATAGGAAAACGGAGAAACTCCAAGTTACGAAAACAGGAATTATCTCACATCTGATCCTCGTCGTTACTTAATAGCATTCGCCACTTCGAACGAATTGATTAATCACCGCTCGAGCCCTTTTCTCTCGAATTTCTGTCGACAATTTCGAATGTAGCGACTTTTGAACGCGGTCCTTTTTTTGTATCTTTAAATAGAAAAAGTATGAGAAAAGGGGACGGAAGTGCCGCGATGGATAGGAAAAAAGGGAATTGAGGGAAATGGCGTTCGATCGTGCCGCGAACGTACAAGCGACCCTCGCGCTGTAGAACGCATTTAAATAATTGCTTTTCGTTTTCGTTCCTCACCCTCTCTTCTGGACCGCGTGTCGACCCGAGGATTCGCCTCGGCCTGATAGCCCTCTCTCGCTCGCGCTTACACTCGCGCGTTATTGCAGCGGCGTGTTTGAGCCTCGGAAAATTTGTTATCGGAAATCAGAGTGCGGGATCAGGCGAAATTATTGACGGTATTATTCGCGACAACACAGGGACACCGAACGAGAGAGTCCCGACAGGAGTAACGATCAATTTATTTTCTCTCCGGATCCCCCGAAGGACGTCATGCGAGAATGACGTCTCTCTTGAAGCAACCGGATCGAAGCTCGACGGAGTAATATTTTACGACGATGGTGAAAAATGCTGCCGGGACAACGGCTTCCGGAGAGCAACTTCCGGAAAGGCGCTTAAAAAGCCACTCCCCGGAGAGAAAGTTTTATCGGGATTATTCCCTCATGGCGAACCAAGATTATCCGTCATGAAATTTGCTTGCCCGGATCTTGTGACCGTATTAAAAAATTTGCAAATTTTTCACGGTACGAATAAAAATCGAAGAACTGATTAAACTAGGCCAGCATCTGCAAAGTTCTAAAAAAGTCGAGGTTTTTGACATTTGGAATTGTATTCATAGATATAAGTAGCATTCCATTACGTAAAAATAACACGCGTGACATTTTTACGAGGGCGAGAGAGAAAACATCTTGAGATATTTCGGTACAATCTTGCCCGGTTTCGTTATCCTTATTAAAACATCGAAGCGCGTTCGACGAATCGAATTGCGACTGTTTATAACAATAACACGATGAGCATCGTCGACGAAATATGCATATAATATATATCCACGAAAATATAATCTCACATTTTTATCATTTTTCGCGTCATTAATGAAATTAGTCGAATATACGCGCAAAAAAGGTCCGTTTAATAAAAAAGCCTGGGATTTTTTAAAAACGACCTGCGGAACAGGGGTCATCAAAGCTTAGTGGGTTTAATTAATACCGCGTTTTACGTCCTATTTACCAGCTATATAACGGCACAAACAGGATGGGGATAGCGAAGGGAGGAGGATAAAGAAGGGAAAAAGAGAAGAGGAGAAACATATTTTCGCAATGTGGCAACGCGTGTAACGCGCCAAAAGCGCGATTAACTGTGCGATTAGTTACACGAGGGTCGTGTAACGCTTACGATGGCGACGTGCTGTTCGTTAGCTCGTGTAAACTCGTTCCCGCGGGCGAGGTCGCATTACTCGACCAAGATCTATCTAATCTAATTTCGTACTGCCGTATAACGCCGCCATTGTTCGCTATCGTCGTATATTACGCTACGTGTTACTATAACTGGAGAGGTCAGCCGGTTAACACCTGAGATACACCCGAATCCTCTCGCGTGTCGCGTTGGGTTTCGTTCGGAGATATCTCGTTACGAAAAGCGAAGTAAACGTAAGTGCATTCGTAACCGAAATCGTCAAAGATTTGAAAAGTTGGACATCTTTTACTGTCTCTAGTCTAAATTCGGGAAAATGTTATTGCCTCTCAAACGCAACACGTGACTCCTCCTTCGTACGTTTATGAAAGTTTTATTTGCATGCACCAGGCTCCCGTCTCGGATCATAAAACAACACATCGCCTCGCGCCGCATAATAATGTTAATGAGGGTGGAGGAACGAGAAGGCGGTGTGTAATCATAAACCACGTGCATGCGATATACCGTGACGCGTTATTTCAGCGTGCATTCTGGGGCGCATGATGGAGTAGCTTTTTGCCAGGCTGACCTTTTCCATCGACATCGCCCCTTTCTCGCGCGACGTTCCGGGAGATTGAAAAAAACCTCCGGTCTCCTTGCTTGTTATCGGGCGCCCGCGAGAATTGATCGAAGGGCCGCAACCGGGTGTATATATATATATATATATATATATATATATATATATATATATATATGTGTAGATGATTGATGCCGCGTGGAATTCGCGCGCGCGAATGCAAAAGAGGTGACCGCGCGTAGCGAAAGCGAAGGGATGCATTAATCGAGTGACCCGGTGATTTAATTGCGGAAACGAGCTCCCGGCCGGGACAAAAAGGCGGTATTTCGCTTTTACGGCGAAGATCCTCCAATAAAAACAGCGAAACAATGTTACAATTAAGTCGCGCGAAGACCACGCTTCGGCAAAAACCCCGACCGGTTTATAAAATAAACCTAGGATAGATTAAAACATAAATATACCGATAAATAAGACGATTAAAAATGAAAAGCTAATAAAAGGCTAATAAATCAGCAAGTATATGTATGACGGAATTAATTAAAACCATATCTGTGATTTTTTGCAAGTTTTATTAGCGTGCCTTTAAGTGAATAAAATTAATTAATAAAACGTTAATTAATACTGTTTTAAAAATGAAAAAGTATAGAATCATAGAATTATAGAAAAACTATAATAGAACAGAACACATGAAAATCTCATATAGATATATTAGAATCGTGACAGAACTGTCTTTAACTGAATATAAATTAAAGAACAAATTAATTAATGCTGCTAATAAAGAATATGATCATATAGGGTCCCTACACAAAACGCGCAAAAAGTGCCGTCTCCTTAGCATAACTAGAGGTTTCAAATTCCACCCTGGCCGCGCCTTTATAATACGATAATTATCAGCTTAATTGCACAATTATGCGTTATACATAGCATAAGCTGCAACTTGTTCAAACAGCAAACGATATAAAAATCCGTATTATCGTGATCGGGCAATCAGTTTCATATTACATTGCTGGTGTTATGAATGCAGAAATAAAATATGACTCAAGTCTATTTTATAATATTAATAATCCTCGCATGAGTTTTTACGAGAGAATTTTGTCATAAAGTGTAAAATTAGTGTTACGCTCGGAAAGAAATTTTCGTTCGCGTGTCAATCGGAAATTAAAATTGCATATAATTAACTATTTATTTTTCTGCTTTGCTCGATCATGTGATTTTACTGACTCTATAGCTACAGCTGTTACTAGATCCGAAACGGACTTTGGAGAAGCTTAAGTCTTACAACTGTGCGAGGAGTATCGGATATCTAGTAGTTTGTTCGAATCCACGGTGAAACTCCGAGTTATCGTGTATATAATACCGTCATTAAGAAAAACCGCGATCGTTCTATTACGCGCACAACCTCCCGAAGAAGCGTAATAATATGAACCTGCGGTGCTTTTGCCGCAGAGGAATCAGCTGATACATCGCGCGATAAGGTAAAAATAACACAGGTGTAAATGACTGTTTATATCGTTTTAGCTTAATCGATCGTAATGCATAAACGCGAATAATTGGATGTAATCAGTCGCGAAACTCATCTGTCAGAAAAATCGAGCCGATAAACAACAACGTGTCGATAATAAATAATAATCCCGTCGAACGCGCGAAAGGGGCTGTATACGATCGGCCCGTAATAAAATCGACGATACTTCTTCTTCGGGATCAGCGGAAACCAATTTAGCCGATGTTACATGAAATTTGGGAGCTATCCGTTGCACTACGCGTACTAATTGCTATTGCTGGAATGGCTTCGCCACTGGGGTGAAATTGGGGACAAGAGAGTCGGCGTTAATGGTTTCCATCAAACTGGCGATGATATAATATCTATACTTTTGTTGTTTAACAATATGTTTCACTAACGTTTGTTATTTTATACATAGACTTGTCTATTCTGATAATAATGATTTTGTAGAATGCACATGTATGTATGAACAAAAAATATGTAGAATATAAATAATAAATTCCCAAAATTATTAATAAAGTCACTAGTATTTAAGTAGGAGTTGTAGAAATTAATCGACCAGACTAGCAAATAAATCATTTATTCAGCTTCATCGAAGCTTCGGTCAAGCTGAATAAATGATTTATTTGCTAGTCTGGTCGATTCATTTCTACAATTCCAATACAAATAATGCTTTTAAGTCTAAATCTATATTATCTAATCTATAATTTATTACCTGTAATTGTATAATAATATAAAATGATGAGAAATACTTTGCCTATTAATATACGTGAAAGATTATCTAAAAATTCAATGTTTTTTTATTTAATTTTTAATCGATATTTATGTGAAACAAGTATAAAAAAATATATGCAACAAACGATATTATAAAATCATATAATAATGAGAGGAAAAACTTTGATAATTTTTAATCAATTTTTAAATTTGTTTTATATAAATAAAAAATTAAATAAGAAAAATAATCGAGAGCAAAAAATAATTATCGCGGTGTAAATGTATTTTGATTTCCCGCGACAAAGGTTCGATATAATAATAGTTATGTGTCAAGAACACAATACTCGCGCGCAAACGTTATTTGATCGATGATAATCCGATGGTATTTGTAACCGATACGATTGATCGGTTATAGCCAAGTATTTTCGTTTGACGTATGTATAGGGAAGAGCGACCGCAATACGTATATCTCGGCCCATGTTTCATCCTCTTTTAAAGCACGTTCGGCCGAACACACTCGCCCGATTTTCTCCGCGTATGTACGTGAAATACGGAAAGGTCGCGCGACGACGAGCCGGGCCAAGTTTTGCACAATCCCGCACATTAAAAGTTTCGCGGATGGATAGCGCGCAAAGGGGATTGGCCAGCTGGCGAAGTGGAAGTTTCCGGGATTGGCCGACGATGATGAATATAAATCAAATGTCGCCTGACTTTTTCCATTGTGAACCATCCGGTATAACTGACTCTCATTTTGCGTACTAATATCGATCGCAAACGGCTTTCGAAGAATGCAAAATGTCCCGTTGTTTGCGATGAGAATGTCATCTGGCTGGATGCCAGCAGAAATCGGTATAATCTCGACGAGTTCCCAAATTGAGATTATATAGAGGAAACTAATATCTATTTTAGTCAATTTTTCTCTTTCTTTTTTAGCGATTTGTTTTGATCCGCTTTGAAATCCTCTTTCATTTTTATTACAAACTTTTACGCGGTAAATTGTATATATTCCTTTCTCGCGCAAGCTTTCGAGCATTGAAAAATTTAGATTTCGTCCGCTGCGCGTTACTTTTTCAGTCTCTGCCCGTCGGTGGTTCATATATTATTTCGTCACATTAAACAACATAACTGCCTGTTACGTTATTTATGGGAGTTCTAAAGTTACAAAGGCATGACGTTGTCCTAGATCTAACGAGCTTGCGAGATAGGCACTCTCATCGTTTTATAATTCCCGAGCGTCTCACGCGAAGAGAAACGCTAAGCGAAACGATAAAGGGACTGATGAATATGGATCGACGTTCGATCACTTGAATTTGCATGCACGGCCAGGTGAGGCAAGAACAACGTATCTTTAGACGCGCCTATATATCGACGGAATGCATTATTACGTCTCGTGAGGCACGTCAACGGAATAAAGATGGATCGCGCGCGTCGAAAACATAATTTCCTATATACCACGTTCACAATAGCACGCGGGAATCACCATCGGGCGATTCCTTATCGCTGGGTCATTCGCGAGGAATCGATATATCTCGGCCTATATCCTTCGATTCGACGGGCGCGGTAACGAAGATTAAGATGATTCGACCGCGAGACTCCTTTCACACGGAAGCGACCAATCTCTCTCTCCGGGGTTCCGCGTAACGGATCTATTAAAACTCTCGTCCGGCAAAATTGAGCTCATTACCGGCTGCTACCGGGTGTGGCTAAAGACCCGTCATCCTGATCCTGAGCCGCGAGACCGTATTATTTTGCCGCTGATGCGATACGCCGCTCCGGGAGACTTACCGGTGGTGGAGTTGATGAGAAAATAACCCTCCGGATTGCCGCTGCTGATGGTGAAGACGAATTGCTGGGGCGAGACGTCGTGATCAAAGGCGCGGATCTGCAGGACGCTCACGCCGGCGGGCGAGTTCTCCGCCACGGAGGGATAGTACACCGGAAGTTCGGTCAGCGGCGTGTTATCGTTCTCGTCCAGCACCTCCACGTAAACCTACGTGCACACGCGCGCACAGGGTCGTCTATTAATCACTCGTTGCATAAAACCCGAATTTATATATTCGCGCGATTGGAAGAAAAACATCTTTATTTAGATTTTATTTTTCATTTCTTCCTTGTGCATTAGCTTCATTTTATCATACATTTTATATTTTTTGAAATTTATAAAAATATTGCGAGACACGAAGAAATTTATCGCCTAAGAAATACAAAAGGAAACATTGTCAAATTGAAATGGAAGTAAATGATAGTATAATATCGACTATAAATGGCAGCATTAATTCTTGTACAGAAATCCGACTTTTCGATGTTTTTTTTTTGAAATTGAAAAAATGTATAAAATGTCAAAACTTACTTGTAGACTCGAGCTCAGCGGAACCACTCCGTGATCCTGGGCATACACCGTCAACCAGTATCCCCTCTTTGTCTCGACGTCGAGCACTACTTTGGTCCTGATGTTTCCTGCAACAAATGTAGAAATCGTGCAATTAATTCTCGGGAACTAGAATGTGAACGTGACGTGCGAACGAACACGTCGCGCGATAATAAATCTCGATCACCTATCTTTCATACAATAATTCAAAAGAACTCAATTTTCTCATTCCGCGATCGGATACCGTAATGAAATATCGCCAATGCAGGTGCTCGTCAGGCGGCTTTTAGAATCGGAATTAAAAATGCGAAATAAAATCGCGGGACCTCTTGCACCCTGGCGCCGATATCGAAGGCTCGAAAGGAACGGAAAGGCGGCCGGTTCGCGGACGAAAAAAGAAAGAAAAAAAAATAAGAGGCAGCGATATTTATTTCTCCACCTTGTGCAAAGTGGTCAGCAACAAGAGAACCGACAGGCATATGCACGTCATCACGCATATATATGCGTGCGCGCAACCGGCGCAAAAATCGAACCGCATTCCTGCCGTTAACGCAGATCGGCGCCGCCGCTGTTCCGCGAGTCTTCGACTCAGTTTTTTGCCGCGAATTCGCCGGATGCACCGACGGTTTCTTGCGCGCGACCGATATTCCGCGTTCCGCGCGCATCATCTGCTCGCGGTTTGTTTAATCGTCGCCCGGGATTAAAAGACGGCGATATAAACGTCCGAGGGTGCCCGATTACTTAGCAACGTCGTGCTCTTCCCGGGGAGGAAAAAGGAGAGGAAGAATCGTAAAAGCCATGGCCTCTGCTCATACAATTTGTGACATCGATAATCAACATCTTCCTCTCGTCCGCGAGGAATTAGCGAGACATCGAACTCGACGTCGATCGGAATAACGGAGGATCTCCTCGAGATTGTCGAGAGTCCGCCGGGGCATTAATTAATGAACGTTAATTAGAAATTCGAAATTCGTAAGGATCGTGAATCATAAATTGTAACTCCTGTCGGGAGTTTTACCCATACGCTCGTTTCTCTTCCCTTCCAGCAACTTCGTATGTACACATCTTTGAAAAATGCATGCTGAATCTCGTGTGTTAAGCGGCGGTATTTTTTGCCGGTTCTTTTTCTTCTCGCAGCTTCCGTGCATGCTCAAATCCTAGTTATAGTACTCAGAGACTGTCCGTCTCGAGTTAGCACACATGACAGAAAAAAAAAAAAAAAAAAAAACAAATACATATTTTATAACTTCCTTTGTGTTGCGTAAATCGCGTACATTCGCATTGTTAATAGAATTGTTTGGGGAAGAAACACATTACGTCACGTTAAAAAGAATGTGATTTTTTAGGACCTTAAGCGGGAGTGAAAGAAACGAGCTTCCCCGATTAGCTGAATGTACCGTGGGAATTGTGAAATCTTAATTAACCGCAAATGAACTTTTTATATAGGTATATACATATAATGCGTCGGGCTGCTATATTTCATCTCCTATACCATCGTTACCTTTGCGTTATACGCTCTTCTGTTCGTTCAACTAAAGCAGATGAAGACACGTGCGGTACTTAATAGCGGGCGAGTCGGCAAATGCATTAAATTTAGTACCGTAAACGCGACTTATATACAGCATCCTCCGCCGTCATATAACGGGAGAACTTGGTTAGCGGAAGAACGAGCCGGCAACGTGGCTCTGACATTACAAAAATGAATTTTCTCGCAGTCTATGCTGTAATTCCTACAAAAGGAGGAGGAGCATCCGGCGACTCGGTTGTCTCGAGAAACAATCTGCGACGATACGAAATGCAGATTTTTCCAGAGACATAGCTCGTCTGTCCCTTCTTGTTTCAATAAAATTCGCGCAAATAAATATTCATTAAATGTTTAACCTCTCATGAATAACGCAAGTACTATAAATTGAGAAGAATGTTGGTTTTGCGAAGAAATTTCTCGGTTCGCGGAATATTTTAGCACTTATTACTCCAAATCGTGCGGATTCGATATTTTTGCAACGAGACATCTCAGAGATACAAAAATACAAGCTAAGATAGATATTTACATATATATATATATATATCTTGGACGAACTTGATGACAAGGAGACAAAGGTGAAGAAAATGATTTCTAAAGAAGTATTTTGTTTCGTGCGCGCGTATACACATATTTGCGATGCAAGCTGCGAAACGCAGTCACGTTGTATTTCAATCGGGTCTCATCACGACGGAGCACGTGGATGTACGTCGGCAACTCTCCCGGGTTCCTTCGTGCTCATCCATCTGTCGAGACAGCTGATGAAGGCGCGTGCAGCATTTAATAGCGCGCTGGGGATCGTATTTAATGTGTTCCTACGCGCGGATCGCAACAAACTTCCGCGATGCGCGATGAGAGCGAAATACAGCGGCATATATATTATCTGCGTTATATTATTATATTCGAGTTGCTTGCTTCTGCAATCGCATATAAATGAAACGAAATTTTTACACGTAATTGAAATTTTCGAGAAAATTAAAAGGAAATGAAACTACGAGAGTAAAGGATATCGCGACAGCTGTTAGCAATTTTTCTGCTCGCGCGAAACCTTTTCAGCTTGGTAAGAACTCGGTAAGGAACAGAGAGTCTCATCGAGCGGCTACGATATTCGTTTTTCGGCGTGACTTTTCGTCCTTTGTTCGAGTAACGACGGAAAGCTGCTTTGGCGCGGAAACGGGTCGATGGCTTTCCGAATGGAGAACGTGCCGCCGTAATCGAACCCTCGGTCGTTTAATTTTTGGTCCCCCCGAGAGCTGCCCTTTTCTCCCTTTCACATCCGCGCAGTCTCATTCGTTACTCTCTCATCCTCCCTGAGAAATTTCTCCGAGTCTTGACGCGGCCTCGCGTCCGTCTGTGATCGTTAACCTAGATTCGTTACTGATACCTTCCTCGGATATCATCCTCGTTGGCAATACGCGCCGTGAACGTTCACGAAGCGTTAACAACGACTATCGTTTTCTCCACTGATCATCGTTGAAAGGTGATTGATGCTCGATCGGATACCAGGGATTAATGAACGCTTGAAAAGCTGCAGCACGGAAATTGATTATACCAATTGGAGCTTTATCTATTTCGTTGTTGGCGCTCGAGATAACGATACGATCCATCATAAATGTTTCGATTTTTATTTGACGCGCATTAGTACCGTATAATGTCATTAAAGGATACAAGAAAATTCTTACTGCAAGTTCAAGACAGCTATCAGTCGGAATGTAAAAACGTTCGAATACGATCCTTTGAGGGAATTAAATTTCTTTACGTTGAAACGATCCTACTATTCTTGCGATACTAAGAAATTAATTAAATTATAATCCGGAGAATCTAAAGTGTGACAAAGTTTCACGAAATTTAAATATGAAAAGTCAGAATTAAAGAAAGTTGACAAATAAAGGCTCTTAAGATATTCTTTTTTTTCTGCGATCGCAAAAGTTCTTTTACTACTATAATCTACTTTTTCTCAGTTTCAGCTCCAAGAAAATTGTATCACGCAAAGTTTAACATTTCACAAATGCGCACATTTGCGCGAAAAAATGCGAGCAAAATTCCGCATGCTACATAAAACATAATCGCTCTTAACTATTAATTTCGCATATTGCTCGCGCGTAAGAGTCGCGCAACACATTTAACGAGAATGTCGGGGAAAAAATACAAACCATAAATCACGAGTGTATAAAAGTGGGCCGCACTAGAAACGAAATTGCGAGATATACGTGCCCGCTCGACCGGATTTCTCGGTACGCTCGAGATTCAGATTGCCAGGAGCATATCGTCAACAATTCGATTAAAATGCGTTTCCGTGGAAAGCTTTTAGCCATTAGATTTGAATAACGGTATATGTACACACGTATACATAAAGAGCTAATATACCTTTCAAACTTTAATTGGAATATAATGTTAAGGCGAAAAGTAACAGAGTTATTTCGGATAAATTGAGAGAAAGGGAGAATTTATTAAATAAAGACACGCTTGCTGTATTCTTATTAAAACATTGTTATTAAATAAGCACCTACTTGTCGAGAAATGTCATAAAATAAGCAAGTTGAGAAAAATTTTTAAATTAAAAATTGATAAAGAGATAACGATTATTAGTATTAATAAATAATGTGGAAATTTCCTCCGTTGTGGAATTTGGCACGAACCAATTATATCATCGAACAAAACATTCCACAAAAGGGAACACGTTTTTCTTTTATGATTCTTGAAACTTTTCTGTAGCTCTGCGGGGTTTCGTGTAGTACTTGAACAAATTATTATACCTCTAACTCTACCAAGATGTCCAATCTTCTTGCATCGCACCCTGCACCGTCGATCCTATCGGTGGAGAGATAAACGGTTCCACGTTTTTTTCCCATTTTCACTGGTTTTCACAACTTTTGTAAGAGAACTACTTACCAAACGTTTGCCTTTATCTTTATAGCCTTTTCGATAGCCGACGAGTTTCTGTACCAATTTAATCCGCACTATTGTTGGAAACGCAAACTAATAAAGAAATACCTTGCAGACGCTAAATAACAGAGTTTATGTTAGTTTTGTATTGGCGAAGCGCGTTATCTTCTTTTGTTATTTCAATCTGACATAACTGATGATAATACAACGTGCTTGTTATCTTGAAGACAGAATTCGAAAGAAAATTTTTTCGAAATATTTTATTTATGTACTTTAATCATAGCGAATAATTATTTCTTTCTGTTTTATAAATGACATATTAAAAAAATGTCTATACAGAAATTAAAAAATTCCGAGATATTATAAATATTAGACATTTTATGTATGAAATTTTAATTAGTCTATCTATTACTTATATATATGTACTTAATTATTTAAAATTTTTCAAAGTTCGCCATTTACAATTCTTCAGGAAATATTTAGCACAATTATATTTTAAGTTTCAAAGTTTTAAGCCGACTAACATAAAATTAACATAAACTAATTAATTAATGTATAAGTTTGTTCGCGTTTATTCGCGTGAAATTCATAATAAAAAATTTGATAACCATTCGAAGGTGGTAAAGACTCGAGTGGATAAAGAAAAAATTTCACGTGGAACTTGCTTTCATCCAAGATTCT